TCCTCCGTGTGGTGAATTTCAAAGTCGTATGAATCTCGTCATTATCGTAAAGTGGTTTTAAGTTTATGTGCAACGATCTGCAACTTTTAGACAGTCAGGTTGTAGTATACGTGCGATAGTTTCACAGGTGCCTCTGATGTACGGTATAGTCGCTGTCGTAACAAGGGCGAAGTTGACGTTGGTCTGGGTGTTGGAATCAGCGTTACTCTGAGTGTTTTGTCTGATAAAGTCTGCGTTGTAGTTGTTTTTACAAAAACCGTTGCTCAGTTTAGGTAGTCAGTCTCGTCTTGTAAGCTGTATGTCAGGCGAGTTGCAAACTAATTGCGCTCGTCTCGTCACAATTACGTATGGTTGTAGCCTTGTGAGAGGTCGGGTTGTACGATGACTGGTCTAGTAATAATCTGTCGGTATGTGTCAACTTTCTGTAATTGTCGTTTGTAGTCTATTTTTGTCCCGAGTGACCAAGCAGTCTAGATCTAGAAAACGTATTTTACCATTTTCCTCGATTTCCTTGGTAAACTGTATGTCCGCGTTCGGTTTGTTAAGGTGATTGTGAAAATCGTCTATTTCGTCCTTGTGTACAGTGGTGAAAGTGTCGACAACGTAGCGTAACCAAAGAGGTATAGTTTGCGTATGAGCAGCTAGCGGCTTGCTCCTCGATGTTTTGCATAACTATTTCTGCCACAACAACAGAAACTGGAGAGCCCATAGCTGTACCGTATAGCTTTTTGTAGTGTTTGTCGTTGCACTATAAGTACGTCGAAGTTAGGCAGAGGTTAGCCTGGGTAGCAAGCGTTTACGTGCGGTTTAGGAGTAAAGAACGAGGAACGAGAGTCAAAGACCGCGCGTAAAATGCCACAAGTGGCCGCCAAAACCGGTCTTTCTTTGCTCCGAAACCAAATGGAAACGCTTGCTACGCAGGCTAGGCAGAGGTTGAGTAGTTCAAGAGTAGAGTTCTTAATAGCTTTTTCCGTGCAGTCTAGAGCCAGTTAAAGTGAAATACTGGTGAACAGTGATTTCACATCAAAAGACACAAGTTTTCGGTCGTCAGGTATCTATATTGTCTTGATGGCGCCAATAAAATTCTCTCTAGACTGAAGTTTATGTCTAGATTCGTCAGTCCAAGGTTTCAGTACGTTAGTTAAGTATCTTGACAGTTGGTATGTCGGGGACCCACGAAAACAATCTATGGGCCGCATAGGTATGTTGGGTTTGTGTAGTTTCGGTAGCCCATACGTATATTGGGTGGCTGCGGAACACTACACCTCAGTCTGTTGTAGCGTCGAAAGTAGATCTTGTCGGTTTTCTTCAGAGTATTAAAGCAGTTTGTTGTTAAGTTTGCGTTGCAGTGCGGCTGTCGAGTCTCGTTTAAGTACCTCTTAGGCCAGTTTGTCGTTAACAAGGGCGTCCATTTTGTCGTTGTAGGCGGTCTTGTCATAACAACAGTCACCCGTACCTGTCTGGGGGAAGTATGACTATGTTCTCGTCGGTTTTCAGTTTCAGTGCTTTCTGTTCTTCAGGAGTCAAGTTGCTGTTCGGTAGAGAGGCTGATTGTAAAGTAGAGGTCACTCTACTTCTGATGTTATCCTTAGTCGATTCTGATAGCTCATGTTGACGAGACAGAACGGCCTCAACGCTAAGTACAACAGCCTCAGTTGGTATTTGTTTAGGTGTCACCGGGTGTTTAAGTCCCTAGGAAAATAGTTGTGTTTCAGTCTCATCTAAGGGACGGAAAGAAATATTCCTGACCCAGTTAGCGTCTGGTTTACGTCGTTTAGGGATTTTTGTGTCTTGCAGTCGTGTCCGTTTCTGTTTCTTTTTCGCCCCGTGCTGTTCAGCTGTCCGTCAATGCGTTTGTCAGCAACAGTCTGTATAGCGCTAATTACTTCGCGGGAAAAAATCAGTTCGTGCACATTGATTCTCAGTCATCTGAAGAGCTTCCCGTAACTTCTGGAGTTCCTCGGACCCCTGTTATTCATTGTCCACATTTATGACCTATCACGTTGTGTCAAACACTGTTCTGTTAATGTGTACGCTGACGGTACAGTTTTATATCTTGCTGGTCCAACTGTAGACAATTGAATTGTTTACATTAACCAAGATCTTCAGTGTTTATCTGAATGGCTAGAAGACGATAATCTTGTTCTCAATGTTTCAAAAACTAAGTGTGTGCAATTTACATCTCAAAGGCATAAAGAGCGCGATTGCATCTTAAATCTTAATCTTCTCGGCAAGTCCATATCTTGCGAAACTACTTTTAAATACCTAGGCGTGGTGTTCGACAACTTTATGACTTGGAAGGCTCACGCGGACTATGTGTGTAAAAAGGTGGCATCAAGAGTTAGTATCCTGGGCGGTGTTAGAAGTTTCGTCACAAAAGAGGCAGCAACACTTGTTCACAACGCTTTAATTCTTCCATTATTTGATTACTGTGACATTGCCTGGAGTAACCTTCTACAGCAAGATATAGATCGACTACAGCGCCTACAGAATAGATCTGCACGGATTATCACACGTTGCTCTCGCTCATCTGAAGCAATATAGCAGCTGCACTGGCCGACTCTTTCCAGCAGATGCTCTTACCACAAGGCTAAACTCGTTTTTCTCCGTCTTCACTCATTAGTTCTTAGTTACTTTTCATTATATTTTACTAGATTTTCAAACATTCACAATTATTCCACAAGGCAAAGTATGAGGCTATCCCTACCAAACGTTAAACAAAATTTTGGGAAAAGGACCTTTCTTTTTACTGGCGCAAAAATTTTACCAAACCCCCTTTAAACATTGTGAAGAGTGAAAACATTCAAACGTTCTGACGCCGAGCAAGACATTTCTTCTTACCATAACTTTGATATTTTATTACTATTTTAGGCTTTAAATGTGATTTTGCATTATATTTTTAGGCTTTTTAATGTACTTCTTAAATTCTAGTATTGTATTTTTATTAGGCTTTTTAAATGTAATAGTTCATGAAAATTCTTGATGTAAATTAATTTTTAAAGATACAGGTCCCCGGCTATGGAGACCAGCCTTTGAGCTGAATTGGGCTACCCTGTGTAAATAAAATTCTACTTTACTTAATTACGGTAGTCGGTATAATTTGTTTAAGTTGTTGTTGTATTTTGTTGCTGTTAGTAGTAGTTGAGTCTTCTGGATCAACATCTCGTTATCACGTCATTTTTCCTTTGCTTTTAGAATCAACTGACTCAGCAGCGAAATCAGGGAGCAACGACTACTTTTAGAGAAATTGCATCAAGCAATAATATCCAAGAATGATATCAGCACACGTTTGACCGATGACTGATTTACTCAACAGTGCCAACTATGGATCTGTAGAGTTTTAAGTCATAACCAAAGAAGAAAAATAGGATGATGTTTTTTTCTTTTTTTTTGCCTGCGAGTATTCGTTCTTTTCACTTCTTCTACAGATTAGTTACCCTGGGTTGTCAGAGACGTTTTTCTCCCTACCTAATTCTTCACGGCAAAGCCGCGACAGCGACCTATGTAGGCAGTGTAGGCGGTTTCCGTTTTCGATCAAGTTTTTTCTCCGCGGCTTCGGGCAAAGATCTCTCCGCCTGCGGCTGATACCGAAGCATCCCGCTGCATGGGAGGAAAACCTCTCACCCAGGGAACAGATAGCGGGTGGGCAGGTCTCGTGAGTTGATTCAGAATCAGTAACAACAAATTTATTAAACGCGAACAAAATCTACGCTTTGACTTTAACTGCATGTCGAACATTGTTTTAAAGAACCGAGTTGATATGCCTGCTCACATACCCCAGTGACTTTAAGAATTAAAAACAGAGATGCGATGGACATTTTCCACAAGAAATCGCCGCTGCACAAGTGCACAAGTGCTGTCCTACAATTATGGATAACTGTTCTTGCGCCGAATAGGACGAAGAGATTTTGAATGACGGTATGACGAATTGCCTTGTCAATGACATTCGACTTTCTGGAAATAGAGCTGTTGTAAAACGGTGTTTACTGTTCGGTAAAATGCAAGCATTTTAATAAAACCCGAAGTTTTGGGAAACCATGCAAATCTTTCTTCCGTAAGCTTGTGCTTTGGAATTTTTTTTTGTGTCACTGAGGTCGTGTCTGCACGAATCCGGATATTTTTGAAAACGGAGGTTTTTCCCCCCGTTTTCGAAAAAAAAGGCGGTATCAATACGTATCGTATTTGCATAGTTTTTTACCATCCAAATGAAGAGGCTAAAACGGTGGAAATACGATAGCATCCTTTAAAGAGCATGAGTAGTGCTAGTAATAGTGGAGCTCCTCGCGCGCGAAGCGCGCCCGAGCGGAGCACCATAGCTAAGAGAATTTGGTAATCTATCCATCTGAGAAAATTTGGTTAGGAAGTCAGCGTACGACCTCCCGTCCGAACAGACGCTGGGGGAGGGGGAAGGAAGTCAGACGTCAGCCCGTTGGGGTAGGAGTATGTAATAGCTGAGGTGAAATTTTGCATTTCAAGCAACTTTGCTCGTCTCGGCAGTAATATATCACATGTCCGGCAAGACTTGCATGCATGCATGTATTTATTCAGATACAGTCATTTCGGAGAAAACCAAAAAAACTAAAATCTTTATTCAGCCGTAATAAACAGAGATCAAAGGATATAAAACACTTAACAACCGCATCTGAAATCAAATCCTGTCAGGGACACCTAGTACAGAAGCATGAACCACAGGAAATGATTACTCAGTATGCATGTAACAAACCTGCTTCGTGACATAACATATAGAAACGTTATTGTCAAGATTCGTAAAGGACTTAAGCAACAGCCAGCACTGCGCTTTCCTTGCCATGGCAAAAAATAAAATACAGTAAGGTAAATTCTATGGTTGACAGTTATTTATTCTTTCGCACATTATTGTGTGCTGTACACATAAAAAGGGAGTCTTCGAAAGGCTAGTTGGAATAGCGCTGGCCTGCTTTAGTGGAAGGCCCGGATCTAAATACTGGTGGGATTACCACTAACAGTTTACATAGGTTTTTCATTAAAAAACATCTACCTTTTTTACAAGTGTATTGATGGCAAGCTGAACAATCTACATCATTCCACATGTACCCATGCCCTAGTCCAAGGGTGTGTACACAGTCTTCCCCTCTAAAGTTGTTTGGTTGATTCTGGGCCCAGTAGCGGAATTTAAAAGGACATCCATCCACCCAAGCGAACACTCCTTCAGTGGCAATATCATTCAAACCAATCCACGCCTTATCACCGTTGTGCCTGTGCTGAATATAGACATTTTCTTCCTGGCTTTCAATGGCAGGTAGATTAGCCCCCATTGATCGGCAGATTAAACTTGCGTTGGTCCATGTCTCACATTTTTCACTGGTAAAGTAACAGGAACCGTTGTAGAAGCTCCATCCAGTTGGACAAACATCTTTAGGACACAAAAATGAAGGGAAATAAGCTTAGAGATAAGTCTTCCCTCTAGCTCTAAAGAAAAGACCAAATATAGTGACTACTCTCGCAAAACCAAAGAAGTTTTATTATTATTATTATTATTTACAGTAACCATATTTTATTGACGAAGTTTGCCCAAAGAGTAAAAAACTCATCAAGAGGGCTCACTTCGGAATAACATTTTAAAAAATTACAATAAATAGATATTAGTCAAAGCGGCAGGATAGTAAAGGAATGCTAGCAGGTGGAAAATCCATATTTAGGTACTTTTATAAAATCTCACCGATATAAAAGACTGGACGTGAAAAAAGTAAGTAATTATTTTGCTCCGGAGACGGTAACAGTGATCCAAACAGAAAAACTGATAAAATTTGTGCTTTAGACATAAAAGACTACCAGTAAGCAAATATGCGTGCGAGCAGTAGAGGAGAGCAGATTAGTTTCAGGGGTAGAATAAAGTGGATATTCAAGAACTGTCTCATTGTGGAAACCAAAAAAACAAACGGGGCTTTCTCTACAACCTATTTTAAGAGTAATTTGTAGTTTGCAGTGGCTATATGCCAAAAAAACCAGTCAGTCATTGAAGATAGTTTCATAATCAGTTATCAGTATGCCGTGTGACATCGTAACGGAATTTCAAAGCTTTCTCACCTGGTAAGACTGCATATGATACTGACAGAGGATCATGTTGTTGTACAAACAGCTCCTTCACGCAGGCTCTAAAACCGGTCTTGTTTATGTACTGACAGAGAAAAGACGCAGTAATCAGAGAGAACTGGCTGCCAAAAGCTATGGAAAGACCTTTGTTAAGAAAAAAATAAAATCAAAATTTATAACGCTTATTGATTGAAAAATCGCTCTTTCATTTTAAAATAATTTCTAACCTCAGCCCAAGCTGATATGGAGTTGTACAATGGATTAAGGTTTCCTCCGCTCGTTGTATGGTTTGCACACACCAAGACTTCAGGAGAATCATTGTAATGCTTTTTGAAGACAACATCCTTAGAAAAAAACAAGTGAGAAAGCGAAAATTGAAGCATTAGTCAAGGCTAGTGTGAAATATTAAATAAAAGAAACGTTTAAAAGAGGACAGGAAATTTTCAAAAGACATCCCAGCTGTAGGAGAATGACAATTTTGTTATTTCAGTTCAAAGCAGGTCTTGGGAGTTGAATATGGGAATCACTTTCGTGTACATAACGGGGGTACTTCCTTATAAGAGGCTAATGGGGATGTGCCGCTGGATGGGGGCGCATTTTCACGACTGGATTCACTAGAGTTACTAGAATGGGGTCGCGCATTTTCTGATTTTTGGGGCAAGACAGTTCTTCATATTCACGGTAAGCAAACGTACCAGAATGTTTGTACTGTAGGTGAAAAGTAAAGTGTTCTTCATTCAATATAAGGTAATTACGTAAATAGAAAGTTGGGATCGCGAAAATTACGTATTTGCTCAAAAGTGACTAAGATGGGGTGTATAAATCGCCACAAAATAGACTATAATGGGGTAGGGGCTCTGGGAGGCCAGCGGCACATACCCAGCAAAAATTAATCCAAGTACCCCCACCACCCCCCCCCCCCGGGGTGTGTATATCCAAGATAACTGAGAGGATGACTGGAAACCGAAAGCTGAATGCATTCAGACGATAGTAGGCGCCAGTGAGTGAGCAAGTTACTGAACTGAGAGGAGTTCGGTTGGAGAACTGAAGGTCATTCCAGCGGAGAAAAGAGAGAACATACCTCACAAAAAGCATAGTTCATATCCTTAGATGGCTGGTTCTCATTGGAAAAGTAAATAGCACCATGCTCTCTGAAAAGTGGTCGATGAAGTTAAAGCTATCTAATCCTGCCAACAAAGAAATTAATTGTCAGGTTGACAGATTACCATTTCCATGTTGGGGGAGTATAAAATAATTGATAATAAAATCTATCAAATTGTGTAAGACGGAAACTGATACTACGTAAGTTTAATAAAAAAGGTCTAAATGTTTTTTTCTGGTAATCGCTTCACACATGCGCCACACCAAACAAATTGTAATTTTAAGGCCAAAGCAGAAGAGGTTAAGTCGTACAGTAACTTTCAACATAAAACTATCAAGGCACATCAGCAAGCACAAAAGGTTAACAAACCCTAGAGACATTTTTATTTACAATAACATTCTTCGTAAAATCAATAATGCCCTATTTTTCCTAAACTGGCGCATTTTCAGCAGAAAAGTGCTGTATAAAGGATAATTAGACTACCATACCGTTAAAACAGGAATTCAAATGAGCATAAAGTGTACTCCCGTGGTAAAAAGTGCCATAACGAATAATGAAGCAGCTTACAATATGGATGCTTTCATGAGCGCCGTCAAAGTTTTGTAACTCTCTAACGCAGATCCTGAAGGAGGTTGTCGTCACATCTTCAACTCACACAGAGGAGGCATCATGCTTTACACCGCGCCTTTCATGCTCCACTGACACTAGGACTGTGGGCGCTGAAGTAAACTTTCTCTGTGATGACGACAATCGAGGCAAAAGCAACATTGTTAGAAAGAGGTTTCAAATATATTTTTAATAGAATTCGAACCTAAAAATCGAAATTCTTGTTATATTTTTGAAGAAAAAAGAAACGGTGATATCATGTACGAATTACTTAAATAATATGCCATGTTAAGGCAGCTATATAAATCCAACAATTTATAGTTTATGGTAGGAAAAATATATTTTGTGTACATATATTTTATTAAAAGGTCTAGTCAAGGACGCAATAAAAAAATAAATGAAAATCTAATTTTCAGGAAAATCTTTGGAGCAGAAGTCCGCAACTAAAAGTCGCTCAAAATTCAGCAGTGAAATTGTTTTGGAATTTCAAAAATAATTTACTATGAGGAAGAAGGGGACACCAGTTTCAATTTTCGGTACAAGTAAATTCAATGTTTGCTAATTCTTAAAAACATAGGCACGTTAAACGTGCATGAGCTATTTTGAATGCTTCAGTGTAACTATAATACTTCGGTGTAACCTTGCCAAGAGTGATGAATCTACCTTTTTCATCCTAAATGTAGATTTGGTTTTTGTGCGAAATTGGGTATTGCGCTACATAAATGAAAACGCGAAACGCTCAGCTGAGTCGATCCTCAACCTATATACTCACCTTCCTCTGTCCTTCCCTGTTACATCTGGTGCAAGTTGAACAAATTGTTTAAGTAAAATAAATTTCTACTCACCAAACGTTGATTAGAAGGAAAACTCTAAGGTTTCCTCGGAGTTTCTTAAGCCAAAATGTGACTCATGGAATACCGAATAGTTACGAAATACCAGGATTTTTATCATTGTGGTAGATGGTTGCATCATCATAATTCACGAGGTTTTCACGTGCGATTCTACTCAGTGAAACAGTCTTTAACTCCGACAACTTATTTCTTCATGTTTGAAAGCTATTGCCTCTTAAAAGACAAGAGCCTTTTTTAAGGCATTGGTTACAAAACGAAACAGGTCTTCATACGTCCAAGTTACTATTTATCATTGTGAAAAGCCAATCTGCATGAGATGTACAGTCACACAGCTGGCACGTGAAAGTGTTGGACTTTACCCCCTTACGTGGTTCTTACGTGAGGGAATTCGAGTTATCAGTTCACACAGTAAACTAGTACCAACATAATTATAAAAATAACTCTTACACACAATTTGCATGTGAAGATGTTGGTCTTTGGGCCTTTTACAATTCGTACGTAAAAAAAAAGGCAAATTGTTTACTACAAAATTTTCTCAAACGATTTTAAGAAATCACCTCGGCTTCATTACAACATCTGCAATTAAATTATGTTTCATGCAACGTCAAGGTTGATAACCTAACATTTATTAACATTTGTGAGACAGTCTTTAACTCCGACAACTTATTTCTCTTCATGTTTTAAAGGCTATTGCTTCTTAAAAGACGAGAGCCTTTTTTAGGGCATTGGTTACTAAACGAAACAGGTCTTCATTCGTCCAAGTTACTATTATTATTGTGAAAAGCCAATCTGCATGAGATGTACAGTCACACAGCTGGCACGTGAAAGTGTTGGACTTTGCCCCCTTTCGTGGTTCGTACGTGAGGGGATTCTAGTTATCACACAGTAATCTAGTAAACAGAATTATAAAAATAACTCATGCACACAATTTGCATGTGAAGATGTTGGTCTTTGGCCCTTTTACAATTCGTACGTAAAAAAAAGGCAAATTGTTTTACTACAAAATTTTCTCAAGCGATTTTAAGAAATCACCTCGGCTTTATTACAACATCTGCAATTAAATTATGTTTCATGCAACGTCAAGGTTGATTATCAAACTGCCGAAATATATTTCTACTTGTCTCATGTTACTCCACTCAATACAACAGTATCTAATCATTGTGTCAACTAGCTTCTTCCAATTTTATTCCCTAATGCTACTGTTTCTACTTAAGTTACACATCTTTACTAAATAAAATACGTTTCAGAAACTATAATAGCGGAGCTCCTCGCGCGCGCGAAGCGCGCGCAGAGCGGAGCACCATGGGTAAGAAAATTTGGTAAACTATCCATCTGAGAAAATTTGGTTATGACATAGCGAAGTCCCATAGCTTAGAAAATCGATCCATCTTAGAAAATTCGGCAATCACGTGACCGTACACCGACCACCCGACCTTCCGTCCGTCCGCACCACAGGTATACCAATGTTTAATCTCACACTTTTTAGCTAGTTTGGGAGCCTGCAAACTGATATTGTACATCCATGTTTTGATTAATTGACAGCTGTCAAAATAGTGTTTCTGCTGACCAGTATCGCCTGACCCTATCGCGGGCTCAGGTATCGACCCACTGAGTTCGAGTGTTTTTTTAACGTATCCGCTGACAGGTTGCTACTTTTCAATTATCGCAGGCTCAAGTTCAATTTTTTTAAAAACCATATGAAATAAGTCGAGTTCATGAGCCGCACTTTTAAAATGTTGATTTCGAACTGACCTCGGACGCGAAAATTCAACCGGCTTTTACATTTACATGCAGCGAAGGCAACCACTTTTGACTTTTCTCACTGTCACGCGTTGATCACGCTCTACGTCCAATTTTTATGTTCTGATTGGTCAAAATTTGACAGGTGAGTTCATGCGGAAAATTTATGCAGCGTCTGGAAACTTGCTTACTGATAGCTGGAGCTTACAGAGTTTTGTGTCATCTTGTGATGTTTTAAACTGGCTTTTTCTACTTGGTTTACAAAATGAAATACAGCTGCTATCAAGATTGTTCTGTAATTCATGGCTGGTTTGTTTATTGCGCTCTTTGTTGACAAATGCACCGCTTGTCAAAGTCATTGGAAATCCGATTTCGGATGGCATCGTTTTCAAAAGTGAGCTTACTCACTTGCCCTTGCTTGAGGCGTAAGAGGGTTGAAAATTCTGGAACACTTGATGACCTTCAGAAGCAGCATCTCGACTGGTAAGCCTGAGAAATTGTTGTCTTTGATGTGTTTTTTTTTCGGTTTCCTGAAGTCGAGCGTATGGTTTATGCGGCTTAAGTTTATATACGAGCAATGATCTAACCTACAATAGTATCAGGTTTAAAAAGCCTTTAGACATTTTTTGACCGCAAATTCAAAGAAAATGTTCCGAAGATTATTTACTTATGATTTTGGCTGTAAACAGAAAGCCCTGAGCGATTTTCTTTCTTCTTGAAAAAGAGCAAACACCGGGAAGCCGGCTTAAAACATAAATAAGCTTATGCTTACCTGACTCATGATTTTCAAAGACACTTTACTCTCAATACTTCTCTTCGTGAATGAAAATTATTGTCTCTGTACATGTTTCACCGAATTATATTTATTTTATTGATTGTTAGTAGTCCCTCTCGCAATTTTTATCGCTGCACCGGTTGTATCCAGTCGAACATAAACATCTCATGCAGGAATACTCAAAACACCGCGCGTAAATATCACTCGCTTTTAAAGATTACACATAACAAAACCGTACGCAGTTTAATAAATAAAGAGAAATAAAACCTAAACATACAATTTATCTATCATGTTGAAGCGTAAATGGTAACTCTATTAATCGCACTGCAAATTTAGTGCCTGTCAAAAGTGAGCCCCGTCCGGCTGGCCGAAAAGTGATTTTGGGAATTTTTTTATCGTTTTCACTAAAAGCCCATATTACCCTGCATATCACATACGACCAGATTTTTCTAACTGAAAGTCCTGACATTATAGAATTCTCTTCATGAAAACGTTTTATAATTCAATGCTATAATTTGTTGTGCAAAGGAAGCGCGTGCTTTGATCGTCGTGGATATTGAATGAGTGCAAATTCTCTGGCAAAATTGTGAAAAACTGCAGAATTATAGGTTTAAATAGGGCAAAAAAGAACAAATTCTGTCCGAGGTCTGTATGATAAAAACAAGGGCCTCATAGTACTGTTTACCTGAGACCTGATGAGAAAAAGTATGTTTAAAAGGCTGGTTTACACGCCACCAGATTCGTCGCCAAGATTTACTAGTAAACTAAACTTGTCGAACACAAAAAATCCGGCCTGATTTTTTATTTTGGCCTCTCTTTTAGACAGAGGAATGCAACGTGTAAATTGGCTGCCACCAAGGACTATCGTGGCGCCTGTGTTTCTTAAAATTATATTTTGGGGTTGTCCAATTATCCATAGTCTCTCAAACGGAGCAATGTTGGAGGGAGTGGTGAATGCCACATTATGATTCAACAGCTAATGCAAATACCATACACGAATAGGTAGGTCTACTTGTTTTCCAGGCCTAATCTACTGTGATCGAACATGATTGCTATTTTTGGGTGTACAAATAAGACTATTTAATAACTCGATGTAAAAGCTGTTTCACTCTTGGACTGTCAAATTATTCTCTGAAATCACTTAGCCTTTGCCTCAAACGTCAAATGAATGTGCCCTGATCTGCGGATTACAAGTTTATTGTTTGATTTAAATTATGAATTTATTAAAGGGAGCTTCGCTTTTAGCCCTGGCTAAATCTATATATTACTTAGTATGCAGGAAGGATGCATCATGTTGTTCACTTATTATTCTTTTTTTTTGTTTTGCCAGAACGAAAAAGGTCTGTTGAACTTTGTAAGCGAGAGAATAACATTTTTAAAGCTCGTTTACAGGATTAACAATACTCGGTACAGGTTTCACAAAAATAAGCTGCCTTTTTAAACTTCTAAAACCACATTTTATAGGGTGCATAGTTTCGAATTAAATAAAATATAGAAGTAAAAACAATTTCCGTCAACCGATACGAAAAATTTCTTTTTGTTCTGAATTAACTTCGCTGAACTTTTAAGATTACCCTTTACAAAACGCGGGTGGCCATTCGTTTTCGCGCCAAAAAAAAAACCTCACTCACTGACGACACAGACTACCCCAAATTTTGCGTTGGTATGCCTGTGGTGCGGACGGACGGGCTGGCTGAAGGCGGTGTACGGTCACGTGATTACCAAATTTTCTGGGATGGGTAGATTTACTTACCCATGGTGCTCCACAGGCGCGCTTCGCGCGCCAGAGCTCCGCTATCAATTATTGCTTCATTGGAAGAGCTTTGAAATATATGATCTTTTATACTCTACCAAGTTGTAGCAGGTGAAACAGAACTCATACTGACGTGCGTTGTACCGATAGCCGAATTAGATCAGAAATGCCTTGAAGCAGCATCCATACTAAAATATGAACCCTTAAACAGCTGCATCACTGTACACAGCGTTTGAATAATGAAGATATTTAATATAATGTTTCCAAACACCTGTAGCCGTAATAAAAGACGAAAAAATTGTGAATAAAGATGGCGGTCTCAAAGTGCCCTTGTTCGACCTTTACCAATGTCATGTTTAAGTAGATGCTAAGATCTCATTGGTTCCTAAGCATCAACTAATAGTACCTTCAACCTTATTGGCTCTTGCAACAAACATCCGAACATACAAAGTTACAAAGATACAAAGTTACAAAGCCACAAAGATACATACGCTCACACCACTGACATATGAGCTCAACAAAAGCCGATTGCCTATCGTGCTATTCTTTAAAAGGTACTTTTTAGTTTTAGAAGCACAATAAATTGCTCCAAATCTTGCTCTGAAGTAGAATGACTTGTTCCTCGACATTTTAAAAATATTATCGCAAAAAAAAAAATTTAAAAATTATCGCAAAAATACTGCCCGTAAATAAATTTACAACTCCGAAATTGTTGTCACTCCTTCCTTCAATGAATGGGTAGTTTTTTCTTGATTATTATGTTTTGCTCTGCAATACATGTTTACACAGATCGGTTCGTCATTCGTCCCCCCTGGCTGAGGTGCGAATTCCTCGCAGAGCTGCCGCTCGTACTCATTTTCTAGTCGTAAACAAAAGTGCTGGACAGTTCTATCTGAGCTTCAATACAAGGTAGCTTACAATCCCAATACCTTTTCCCTGAATTGGAAGCAACGTACAGCAGGAAGAGCCCTTGGGGATGCATTGCAATACATCGAAATGTACGTAGCAGGAGTTTGAACCAAAACTGCCAAAGAGTATTTTAAAATGTCGAGGAACAAGTCATTCGACGTCAGAGCAAGGTTTGGAGCAATTTATAGTGCTTCTAAAACTAAAAAGCACCTTTTAAAGAATAGCACGATAGGCAACCTACTTTTGTTTTCATAATTAGCAAACATTGAATTTACTTGTCCTGAAAATTCGAACTGGTGGCTCCTTCTACCTGATAGTAATATATTTTTGAAATTCCAAAACAATTTCACAGCTGAATTTTGAGTGACTTTTAGTTACGGACTTCTGCTCCAACGATTTTTCGGAAATTTCTCCCGAAAATTAGTTATATCAATAAAAGCCAATACCAGAAATTTCAGTAAAAAATATCAGCATTTTCTTTAATAGACGCGATTTTCTTTGAACAGTAGGGTCCTTTTAAGCGCTAATTTCTCAAGAAATATTTACCATCAACGAAATCGGAATATTTCTTACTATTGCCGAATGACATCTGTTGTTCTTTGCAAAGCTTCGCAGCCATCGCGTTAAAAACGAAAAAGTTATGACGGAAAATTTGTCACACTGAGCTAAATGATCCAGTATCAATGACGGAGCAACCTTAAAAGACACTCTTATCTATGAACTTGAGAATACTACAAATTGAACTCACCGAGGGCAAAGACACTGTACGACAGTTCGTCCCAGTCCACCAGGTTGGCAGGTCCATTTCACCCGACACTCCCCCGTCAGGAGCTCCTTGGTATGCCAGCCAGTCCACTGTGGCAAACGTTTCTCCATTTCTCCTCTCGTTTCTACCAGCCTGTGTGACGCAAACTGTGAAATTGTTCCCCATGATGTCTTCAACCCAAGCAACCACTGCCTCGTGAACATAGGCTGGGTCTGAGAAGTTCACGTCATTGACAGAAACCTGTATTTGAACCGGTTTGTCAGGATAAAAGGCGTAAGGTTCCAGTGGAACTTGTTCGCAAACTGCTTCAGCCCAGACTGGGTTGTGACTGAGGCGATGACGGCCTTTTTGGGAAGGGAATCCTGAAAACAACCAATAACAACAACAACAAAAACTTGTGAGACTGTTTGGTTAAAAAATGTCCAGTCAAGATTGAATTGAACTTAAGCCACAAAGAAGAAAGCAGAGCTTGGCAACTAGAAACTATATAACTAAGCTTACATCAAGATTGAATTTAAAAGGAAATTGGAACCAAATTTTTGAGAAGGTACGCCAGCGAAATTTAAACACTGCCTTGCGGGTAACATCAAACGTTACTCACGAGTGAAAATCATGAGGAGGTTTATTCAACTATGAGATTATTCACACCGCAGGGAGCCGGTAAACAATGAAGAACTCACTTGTCTAAAAAATACAACAAAATATAATGACTCACAAGCAAAATTACCAGTACAATCTCCTGGATGATAGACAGTGAAGTTTGCCCGGAGATGGCACATTTCTCGCTGGAACACACACACGTTATCGTATGTAGTTCCATTGGAGGAACACACAGGCTCCTCGAATGATGGACAATTATCCACGCAAATGCATCGCGCGTCCCTGGGACCAAACGCTTTGCATACTGCAAAGTACTTGCAGGAAACATTGATGCACGGGTCAAGATCTGTTAACAAATGATACACACAACAATTCAAAATGCCAAATCTTGGCCAAATCAAATGTCAGTTCTCTTATTTATTTATTTATTTATTTATTTATTTATCCTTTCAATTAATTATTTTATATGTCATTTAATTTGCTAACTGTTTCTGTAATTATTTACTGTAGATCTATAAGTCCTAACTCATCGTTACTTATTGCGATCTTCGAATCGAGTACGAGAAACATGAGGGGAGCACTGAATGAAAGTGTTCTTGGAGCCTTCTTTCGACCATCCTTTGCAGTAGTTTCAAGGGACCTACGAGATCGAGACTAAGGAAATGCTACGGCAGCAAAAGAAGACTGTAACACTACATTTTAGTTCTAGAATATCTACCTCCAATAACTGTGTAGTGAACAATAACTGGATCATGTTGGCTTTCCATTCCTGCCAAGTCCTTAACGCATACACGAAAAGTTGAAATCGTTATTTCCTGTGGTCACAAATCGTAAACACTCACCGTATTAGATAAAAGATAAACATGGTGGGAATCTATCAGTTAGCTGCCTACTTTAACGTAAAAATAAATTAATTTTCAAGTTGCAATTAAGCGTGCGGATGACAGTCAAGATTGTCGCTATTTTACCTGTATCCAGGTGTTCAGAACATTGTTCTCCGGCTTAACAGAATAAACGTTATTGCTGTCATAAAGATGACTGACTGTTACCATAACAACGGGAGGTGCATAAAACGTCTCGGTATATTTAAGGACCTGTAAAGAAGGGACAGGAAGCAAATTTAGCTTGCATTATTGATTAAAGGGACGAGAGACGACAAATGAAAGGCAAAAGTACCATTCTTCCTTATTCTCACCACGTTTTACATTTGCTACAAATGTTAAAGGCAACACAGGACATGATAATTGTATTACTTTCGAAAATTCAAAGCGGATTGAATTCTTTGATTTGTCGCAAAGTTCATCATGTCTTAGCTCTACCAACTGCAAGACAAATAAGTTGCTGGTAAAATTCCAAATATCTACGTTTTCAACGTCCCACTACCAAAATTTGTTTATTACCTTGCAGAAAGCAAAGTTGTCTCGTTCCAGTAGAGCGCCACCATTCTCAAACTGTAGTTTTCCATGGAATGTCATCTCACCAGTTCCTTGGGTAAAGCCAACCAGTCCTAGAAAACAAAACAGCTTGTTGCAATCAGTTGCTAATTTAGTATTTGCTGCTTAGAGAGGATGCTGTAATAGTAAAACTGACGAAGCTAATAACTCTACCGGATGGTGAAAGTTTAACAAAAGGAATCAGAAGATCATTGACGCTTTTTCGGCGATTTGATAACCTTAACGGACCAGTCCGATATTTTATTTTACTTTTACCTTAGAAGACTCTTATTACTTCATAAGACTCAACCGAAAATGACAGAAAACTCAGACTGTGTTTTGATAATCCTCATTTTTAAATGAAAAAATTTAAAAAGTGTATCTAACAACAGAGCTCGTGTGAAAATTATTACTCACAAACAATTAAAACTCATGTAACAGATCAACTTACCACTTGAATATTTTGGTGCTTGCCGTCAAATGTTTTTACTTCCCGCAGGCAGACTCTAAAGTGGTCTTCCTGTAACTCGTCTATCCACATGTTCATAGCGTCCTGTGGCATGCTAATGCTACCGTGACGCACAGTTGCCAACACTTTTGGGACAGAAGGAAACCTCTGCAAACCAAGATGAAAGCTATTAAAGCTGCTGTTTCGGTTGACAAGGGTTTTCAATATTTTCATAATAACATGTACAAAGCAGCTGTCACTAGCGCATCATGGTTTAATTCAATTAAACGACGGTCTTCACGTTAGAAATAAGAATAGGCTAAGATGCGAGTGCCAACATGAGTACGGAAAGTTTGAGAAAACTCGAGGCGAAACGCGTATAACTCTGGGTAAATCTAGCAGAAAAAAGAAATAGGACCCCATTCTCGCTGCAACTATGAGGTTTGACGCAACTGTTTGACGCTTTATTAAAACCCAATAAATACAAAACGAATTTTGACAAGCTTTGCTGTAGCTCAGTGTTTCGAAGCGTTTTATAAGCCCCATTAGCGATCCTAAAACCCCTTACAAAGATGTATAAGCCCAGTACTGAGTTTACGGAATACAAACAGCTTAGTGATTAGAGCATTCGACCGGTGTACGGAAGGTCATAGGTTCAATTCCTCTCGGAGACTCAGATTTTTTCATTGTCCTATGCTCATGACATAATGATTGCATCATTTCTCGATATTATAGTAACACACAGAGTACCCTGGTCTTCGATCAGAATAGGATTCTAGGATTGCCTGCCTACCACTCCCTTAACCAAACTTTTTGTGTTATTTAGAAGTTATTGTCAACTTGAGTTAAGGGAGCGGTAGGTGGGCAGTTTACCCCTCCCCTCAAAGAAACTTTGCGATTGGCAGTCAAGGGCAAATATCATATTAACAAAAGCTTAAAACGTTGTTCTTTCTAACTTAATCGCTCAAAACGCAATAATTCTTGATGGTCAAGAATAGACATAATCCACAATGGTGTTTTATTCTCATTGTTTTTGTAACTGGGCGTTAAATAAACATTAATTGTTTCAAAAGCTTAAAGTCACTCGAGTAGCATTAGCTCGTTAAGTATAACTAAAAACATTGCGGTGACATTTCTAAGTTAAATATCAATAAACAGGGGCACCCAAAGACAATTTTCGGAAAAATATCTGTTCAGAAGACAATTTGAGATCTAGAATTTTCGGAACATTTGTTGTAAAATTTATTGCTTGCCTGCCTCTCCTAGGATTTTCGAACATCTAAGAAATGGTAAAATTGCCCATTTTCAACGGATTTTTACCCTAAAAAGGTCACCTAGAATTTTCCGGAGCCTTTTTTCTGGCTGAAATTTTCGAACAGGTAAGTTTTGATCCCTATAATTTTCGGATCACTAGATTTTCAGCCAGGAAATCCGAACAGATGAAAAATTTAAAGGAGTAAAAATATGACCATATCCACCGTTTAAATACTAAAACACGTTTAACAATGCCATGTTTAAGTGGTTTTGAACTATATTCTCGTTGGGTGCCCCTGAATAAAGCACACAAGTAAGTACTTAACTTCCCCCTGGCAACCATCCCAATAATTTTCTCTACTAATACGAGTAGGGAGAAAGCTAATTGTCTGGAAAATTTCACCAGTTCTATGAAGCACTGTTGGTTTCTACAAATAATTTGTGAACGCTTAAAAAGAAAACAACGCTGCATCGAAACCATACCTGGGTGAAGTCAACTCTTTCACATTTTGTTCCGCTGGTGAATGCGTTGAAGGAGGCGGCGCCGTCGAGGGCGCCAGAGGGCGTGCCACGAAACGCAATCTAGTTCACTACAGCAGATCCATTTGTACCAAGGCCTGACTCCAGCACGCAAATGCGGAAGCTGTTCTGTGTCACATCTGTAGTCCAAACGACTGCTGAATCGTGGACACTTAGCGTTTCGTTTTCATGGCTGATGGATGCGAGAACACGGATGTTACTGGAGCTGGAAAATACCTGAGGATATTGCACGGTTCTGCAGTGGACCAGGCTTGGAGATAAAACGGTGAAATTAACCGTTCCATGTTGCAGAAGACTTTGACCTGAAATGAAAATTCTAGAGCATTGGGTGATGGAACAATCATCTAGTTGGAATGGCGGTTCATTTTGGTTCGGTCAAAAGCTATCTTCTGTAAACTGGCCGCTCTGCGTGGTTTCAAATTACTTTTTTCAACAACACGGAACTTTTGTTAAGCGGTCCGTAAAGTTTTGGCAATATTAAGAAACCATTCAACAATGTCACAAAGGATATTCGAGTACGCGTAAACTAAACTGCTTGATGACCCTTGATACTACAGTGGAAGAGAGGGAGAAGAACATCAAACTCACATTTTCAAACTGAGGATTTCAATTGTCTGGTAAATATAAGGGTAAATTAAAATATACTGCTAACGGTGATGCGCCTCATTCTTATTCAGTTTTATCTCGAGTTGAACACTGTTTTGATGTTACCACCCCAACCGCTAAAAATCTCAAGTAACTCGCATCTGTTTCTTTACTGTATTCTAGAATAAACTCAAAAAAATTGAACTGTATAAATCTTGCCTTCAGCTAGAAGCGCTGCTGTACACAAAATTAAAGTCGTCGCCACTATCTGTGCACCTGGGAACGCCCTCATAATTGCAGAGGAAGAAGCAGCTCCTATATAGGGGCTTGACGTGTACGCCTTGGGTATCGTCAATACCTCTACGATACTTCTGAGAGACGCTCGCCTTGTTTTCCATTTAAATAGCGATTTATTATTCCAGGATATAATCTAAGGAGAACGTATCATTTTAACAAGCCGGAAGTACAGTACATAAGAACAGAAAAGTGAAAGAAAAAAAGAACTATTCTGGTGTGTTTGGTGGTACTACTGATAATATAGAAATTGGTCAATAAGGTAACAAATTCAAAAATAAAAGTATGACGGAAAGTGACGTCAGGATAAGCATTAAATTCTAGGGAAACAATTGTTCATTGACCTTTAAAAAAATGAAAATGTCAAAAAAAAAATGCATGAATGGCAGTCATTGTAAATCAATCAGCGTCAAGGCGGTTTTCTATGGTGGAGTATTGCCAACTTTTAGTGGGCAGGACTGGATTAGCAAAATCAAAGGATGATAATAGATTTCTTTTCAAATGATTCATTTTCAACTCTCCTGCTTCGCACCAGGGGGTATGTTATATAAGGCGTAACTATATAGTATGCACAAATTGTGGGATCGTACGTAAAACCTACAAGGCCTGACAATCAAATCATAGGAACGTTACTGAACCATTTGATTTACAGGGTTAGGTCTAAGAGAAGGCTTGCGTGCAGGTCTTTATGCAGAAAAAAAGATTAGCACATTAACCCCGAAGAATCCTCTTCTAAGCCCAAGCTGTTCGGCATGCTACATCACGTACTTCAAAGAAATGCCTGCTACAGCTATATGTAAGAAAATGTGTTGAGGGAAATAAAATGTTGTCAATAGAGATAACTGACCAAAGCACTTAAGTTGGTCGCTACTAGATTGCTAAAGTCTTCCCCTTAATAAAACTTAGTACAAGAGGGGTGGATCCCGGAATTTTGATTGGGGGCGGGTTGGGGCATCCAAACTTTGTTCAGAAAGGACTGTTGAACTTTTTTGTGGCAAATTACTTCGCCCCACACCCCCTCCCACCAGTCGCGGTTGCACGTTACAAGCTTATAATTCTTTGGCTCCTTACCGTGTGCTTGAATTCTACTTTGCGAGCAGAGGCGAACAGATCATGGGAGGGTACGCAAAACAATTACATTTTTGAATATCCCTGGAATTTAGTTTAGCGGCAAAATGCAACGAGCATTTCATTAAGAAAATCAGCCAGTTAAAAAGTGATATACGATCCCGTCGATGTAAGAATTTCAATCTCAAACAAGCGTCAGGTCTGATGGGGGTCATCCGGACCCCCCGGACCCTTCCCCTGGATCCGACACTGGTTATGGGTGCAGTACAACGAGAATTCTTCCAATGGCATGAGTAAAATACACCAGAGATCAGAAGGTACGCTCACCGATGCAAAAAATATACAAGAAAAGGACATCGCGTCATTCTCCAAGGTGCGACTAAAACAAATTTTACAAAATTACACATTCAGAAGGAATAACAACAACACATAAGTAAATGGACAAAATCTTGCAATGATTTTTTTATTACTTACTGTTGTTAGAAGGTTTACTAGCAAAAAAAGCCTCGGACTTCACTAACACTTCAAATTATTCGCGGCTATTCCTTTGCAATGCACCATAAATGACTTTTGCGTAAAATTATTTGCCCTCATCATTCTTTCACCAGCCAAATTAATCATTCATTTAATTAAAGCAGAAATGTAGATAAAGACTTAAGCTAAAGGGTTAGAAGGAGGGCGAGGGTTTCTTTAAATGAAGCCAATCTCCCCTGGTAAATCAAAACTACAATGTTTGCATCCATGGATGTTTTCACAGGCACAGATGCAATAATTAGCAATTAATGAATGAGGCTGAGTAGGATATGAAGAATTAAGCAGATCGAGGAGGGTGTTATCCACAGAGGCCGAAGGCCGAGGTGAATAACACGCTCCGAGATTATTCATTCAAAATAATTCCTAGTTTAAAAACATAGCTAAAACATGCTTACCTGGATCGATGTTAAGTTTATCTTCGATAGTGTACGTTTAGGTATCTCCAGCTCCGCAAATATTCTCCAAATAGCAGATGTCGCCCTCCGAGTTGCAACGAGTAAAACACTCCTGTCTATATAACAATAAGGAATAAATATAACTCCCACCAAGGAGCCTGGTCTCAGGCTAGGAGGTCCTTAGCGGCAAGGAGCGAGGAGAGACGGCTGCATTCTCAACGTTCATTGATTTGTTGGTCAAAAGTGGTGTTTAAGGCATGTTTTTGACTTTAGGGCAAAGAATCACCGTAGAAAACTTTGTTGACTATCCGCTTCCATTTGCTGGAGTTGTGTAAGCACCGGAGCTACCTCAGACCTTCTGAGAGATAGCTGTTTAAAGACCTTTTCCTTTCAAATTTCTGAAAACCTTTTATTGCACTCATTTATAGAAAGGCTTCATTCAATTTATTGGTATCTTTTCCCTCAGGAAGTATCAGTAGTCTTTTTTACCTCGAATAACGTGCTTTTACAGAAGCTTACAGACGTCACTAATAGGAAAAATTAACTTTGAGAGACAATCAAATCAATTCTTTGTTCGCCTCGATTACATTGTCATTAAAATATTGTATACAGTATCTGCTTTAAAAATAACTACTGCGTTTCTAATGTACTCTCTTTACTGCTCTCTACATCAGTTACAGTTTTCCAAAAAAGCTATTTAATCCACAGATTAAGAGAATAACTACTAGTATGGCGGCAGTTATCACCAAAGTCTTGGTCACAACTAGTGTATGGGCCTAACGTAGCGCTGCCCCTCTCTGTGATACCGATGCCATGATCCGACCTCCTGCAGGAACTACCACCTCCACCAATCATAATCACAGATGAGTCGCCAGACCAGTTACACCAAAAGGACAGGTAATTGCTACTCTTAAGATTACTGCTGCATGTCGCTAGACCGAAACCCCATGTGGATGAGTAACTACCCCCAAAATAGGAATAACACGATCTTCTGCAAGCGTTGCTGTTCCAAGTTTTACCATTTCTGAAATTACCAAAGCTGGTTATAAAGCCTCTGAAGGTATTTCCGCCGATGCAGCCATTAGGAGTGTACAACAGATAGGTATGCGAGTTGTCATCATTGCGGGTAATTTTAATATAATTTCCTCGAACGAGCCAGAATGCAGGTGATATCATGTCATAGTTGTTCGATGTGCTAGTAACGCTGCCATAATATGTTGTTCGGTCATACCACCAATCACCGCTGTATTTCATCCAGTTTTTACTGTCAGCATTGGAGAATCGTGAAATAAGTGTCCACCCACCATCAGACATGTCACAGTACACCTAAGACCAGCAAAAGTAATCAGCTAGCATTATGCAATGAAATTGTCTCTCACGTATTTAACAGTTTCACATGAGACAACACCTACTCTCTAAAGCATACAGGTAATCGGATTGTAAAATAAGAGTTTTTAAGAAGTAACAATTTAAGAGATCGATTTATCCATGGCTTCACAGTAACTCCATTACTATTTCTAGGTTTTCTCAGTTTGTGAGAAATTTAATCTCTAGATACAATTCAATTACGTCACACACTTTGTTACACACATTACTATGCCTGAAAAGCCGTAGCAGCGAGCGTAGAAAAGCGTAGCAGAAAGCAAAGAACTTTCTATGACATTATTGCTACAAAAAACATATATTCCATAAACATGATAAAGTAAACTCTGTATTTAGCAGGCACTAGCGAGGGTTCCCTGTGTCCGCTGACGAATACAGGATTTCCTGTACTTATTTAATCAATGGCTTACCAATTTACTTTGAGAAAAACGAAAATGAACTGACCTGAAATGAATAACCGTTGACTTTCAAATAGTACGTTCCACTTGAGGTATAGCCAGCGGTCAAGAGATTTTTACATGATATTTTGGCAATACCTTAAAAGAGGAAAAAGGATAAGTTTCAAAAGGAATAGCCAGACACAAAAGAATAATGATAAGAAAGGAAGTTTCTTATTTGACTTATGACTAGACCTGTTACAAGTCTCAAGCCAGTAAATCAGTCCCACGAATCCGGGAAACATCATCGCCTTCGAATCTTGAAATTTGACATTTTTATCAGATGACCGTTTCTTTCAGTATCGAATTTAAGAACTCGATTAATTGGGCAATAATATCCCATGCTGCAAGCTTTACCTTTCGGTTTACTTTAACAAGAGTGACACGTCAACTAACCAAAAACCTGGTGCAAAACCTGCAAAACTGATCTGCGATTAATGACCATTAGTACTTATTTAGTAACTTTTAAATAGTTCAAACCCGCGTACTTTCACATCTCCATCCAATATAAACGCTTGGACAAACGCAAGTAAAGTTGTAAACTCCATCCACACACGTCCCTCCGTTTAAACATGGATTAGATTTGCATTCATCGGTATCTGTCGGATGAAAACAAGGCCCGGTTCAGACGCGGACCTTTCATGAGCCGAACCTAATACATTGAATTAAGTGCATGAAAAGTTCGGCGCCTGAATCCATTAGAAACGCCTATTTCAATTTGGAACGGCTCAGCCGTTCTTCACGCCTAGCCCGGCGTGAAGTGAGGTGAAGGCTTGGTCAGATGACGCTAAACAGCGCGGAAGGGGAGGACCGCCAGATGTTAGAGGAGGTAGTGCCAATTGTACATGTTTTTATAGATGATTCTCTCAAGATTGTAAGCTCTCACTGCCTGAAAAAGCAAAAATATTGCACTGTCCGCAGCACATTACCGCCAAGTTACATTGAAAGAACGTATTGAAGAGAAATGTACCTTAAGGTGGCTCGACTGGATTTTTTGGGGTTGATACCTCCCAAGTTTGAGCATTAACTACGTCGGCATGAGTAAAGATATGGAAAAAGGTTACCACAACTGTATTATATAAAGATGAAAATTTCTTATGATCTGGGTTTTATTGCAATCGGAGTCGCCATGGCAACGTAATGACGCCATTACTTTTTTCATTTATCGTTGTGTTTCTCTGTACCAGGAGTTTTTTGAAGAAATCGCTTAAGGGAGTATGTACCTGCCATAATTGCCTCCATTATGGCAAAGTTTGAAGAAATTCTATGAGAGCGTTTTCGAGATATTTCGAAATGCTGTTTTAAGAATCATCAAAGCAGTGAAATAGCATGCCAGCCGCTCAATTCGCTAATATTTTAAGAAAATGATAAGCTTTGGGAACGCGGCTTCATCTCATAGTGGTTTGATTCCATTGAAAACTGCATACAAAAAAAGAGGGGAATTGCTCCGGGTGATCGCGAGTAAGAAGAATTTTATTAACTTGCATTCAGCTTCTTTTGATACAGTTTTTGGAGGTAATTAGGTCCATGCCTAAAAATTTCGCATTTTTCCAAAAACCGCTTGATAAATTTTTTTTATAAATTCGACAATTCCGAGATCAATCGTCAAGGAATATTCCCTGCAAGTTTTGAGAACATTGAAAACAGGAAAGGCTTTTAAATAGGGACTCAAACATAACCAATTTTCCCCGCAGATTTTGTGTTTACAAGCGAGCGTCCTCACTATTCACTGGCATTGTTTTCAAGTTTCATATGCACGTGCACAACTAGCAAAAGATATAGATTTGCATCAAAAAGAACTCTCGATTACTTTCCGAAGAAATATCCGGTATATGCTGATAATTGGCTTGTCGTCACAGATAGCAGTGAGAGCCGAAACGGTGAACGTCACGGCTCATCGTGTAGGATGCAATACTTAATTATCTTACTCGGGTTATAATATCACAGAAACTCTCACAAAGAGTTGCTCTGATGTTATAATGTATCTCTAACCTCTTTACCCGGTAATTAGCATATCCCAGATATTTAACCGGGGGTCCTTTTTGATGCAAATTCAATCTTTTTGCTAAATGTGCACGTGTATATGAAACTTGAAAACGTTGCCAGTGAATAATGAGGACGCTCGCTTGTAAACACAAAATCTGGGGGTAAAATTGGCTATATTTGAGGCCCTATTTAAAAGCCTTCCCTGTTGTCAATGTTCTTAAAACTTGCAGGGTGCCATGGCGACTCCGATTGCAATAAAACCCAGATCATAAAAAATTTTCATCTTTATGTAATACAGTTGTGGTAACCTTTTTTCCATATCTTTACCCCTGCTGACGTAGTTAATGTTCAAACTTATAGGTATCCCCCTAACAAAATCCAGTCGAGCCACCTTTACAGCCCTTACCTTATTTGCTTTTTATCCTTTTTATTATCTGTGTTTACCATGTTTACATATCATACCTTGGCACTGTTTTCCAAAATACGGTGAAGGGCATGCGCACGTGTAGTTGTTCTTTCCATCAGTGCAAGTGCCACCATTGAAACAGGGGCTGCTGGAACATTCATCAAACTCTGAGACGTAAAAACAAATATCCTGATTACGAGAGCAATCGACGTTAAATGACACAAATTTAGTAAAATTAGGGCCAATGAACAGATTTAACTTGCACGCATACCTTCACATATCTTTCCCTTATGAGTGCGAGGACAGATACAGCTAAATTTTCTTTTGCCGTTTACGCAAGTTCCTCCGTTCAAACATGGACCACTTGTGCATTCGTCATAATCTAAGTATACGTAACATTATAGAAAAGTTATTGTCAAGACTCGTAAAGGACTTAAGCAGCGACCAGCACTGAGCTTTCTTTGCATGGCAAAAATACAGTAAGGTAAATTCTATGGTTGATAGCTTTTTATTCTTTCGCAAATTATTGTGTACTGTGCATAAAAAGGGAGTAGTCGCCTGGCTATTTGGAATAGCGCTGGCCTGCTTTAGTGGCAGGCCCGGATCCAAATACTGGTAGGATTACCACTAACAGTTTACATAGGTTTTTCATTAAAAAACATCTACCTTTTTTACAAGTGTATTGATGGCAAGCTGAACAATCTACATCATTCCACATGTACCCATGCCCCGGTCCAAGAGTGTGAACACAGTCTTCTTCTCTAAAGTTGTTTGGTTGATTCTGAGCCCAGTAGCGGAATTTAAAAGGACATCCATCCACCCAAGCGAATACTCCTTCAGTGGCAATATCATTCAAACCAATCCACGCCTTATCAACATTGTGCCTGTGCTGAATATAGAAGTTTTCTTCCTGGCTTTCAATGGCAAGTAGATTAGCTCCCATTGATCGGCACATTAAACTTGCGTTGGTCCATGTCTCACATTTTTCGCTTGTAAAGTAACAGGAACCGTTGTAGAAGCTCCATCCAGGTGGACAGACATCTTTAGAACACAAAAATGAATGGAAAAAGTTTAGAATTAAGTCTTCTCTCCAGCTCTAAAGAAAGGACCAAATAAACTGACTACTCTCACTAAAACAAGGAAGTTTTGTAGCTTGCAGTGGCTATATGCCCGAAAAAAAGAAGAAGAAAAGAAAAGATCGATCGCCCGTCTCCTCGACTGCATTGAAGAGGTACTTGTCCTGTTACAACCCAGTCAGGATGGACTTCATTGAAGATAGTTTCATAATCAGTTATCAGTATGCACACGTATTGCCGAGTGACATCATAACCGAATTTCAAAGTTTTCTCACCTGGTAAGACTGCATATGATACTGACAGAGGATCATGTTGTTGTACAAACAGCTCCTTCACGCAGGCTCTAAAACCGGTCTTGTTTATGTACTGACAGAGAAAAGACGCAGTAGTCAGAAAGAACTGGCTGCTAAAAGCTGTCGTTTCCCTGTCGGCCGCAGTCAAAAAAGCTCTTATTGACATCTCCTAAGCCATTTTGTGTAAATTGTCAGTAAAACGCTTCCATCGAGGTCGGGTTCCACTGCCTTTTTTTTTTGCTGGTTTGTTTTAGTTTTGGTTTCGTTTTCTGTTTTGTTTAGGAAAAAGAAAAAACAAGTAAAAAAACAATGGACCCCGTCTACGAGTTTCATTGACACCTGTTGTTATCATACTACAATCCTATCGCAGAGAGGAAAGGGAGTTAACACATAAATGTAAAGGCCTTGTTAAGAAAAATATAAATTGAAAATTTACAACGCTTATTGATTGAAAAACCGCTCTTTCATTTTAAAATAACGTCTAACCTCAGCCCAAGCTGATATGGAGTTGTACAATGGATTAAGGTTTCCTCCGTTCGTTGTATGGTTTGCACACACCAGGACTTCAGGAGAATCATTGTAATGCTTTTTGAAGACAACATCCTTAGAAAAGAAAAGAAATACAAGTGAGAACGCGAAAATTGAAGCATTAATCAAGGCTAGTGTTAAAAATAACATTAAAAGTAACATTTCATAGCAGACAGGAAATTTAAGACATCCCAGCTGTAGGAGAATGACAATTTTGTTATTTCAATTCAAAGCGGGTCTTGGCGTTGAACATTAAAATCACCTCCCTCTGTATATGCAAGATAACAGAGAGGAGGACTGGAAACCGCAAGAAGAACGCATTCGAATAATGGTAGGCGAAAGTGAGTGAGCGAGTCCCTGAATTGAGGGGAGTTCGGTTGGAGGAAAGGTCATTCCAGAGGAGATAAGAGAGAACATACCTCACAAAAAGCATAGTTCACATCCTTTGATGGCTTGTTCACATTGGAAAAGTAAATAGCACCATGCTCTCTGAAAAGAGGTCGATGAAGTTCTTCAAAAGCTATCCAGTCCTGCCAACGAAAAAATTAATTGTCAGGTAACCATCTTCATGTTGGGGGGCATATAAAATAGTTAATAAAAAATCTATCAGAAATGTGTAAGACGGAAGTTGATACTATAAGTTTGAAAAAAAGCCCAACATTTTTTTTCTGGTACTTGCATCAAACATGCGCCACATCAAACAAATTGTAATTTTAAGGCCAGAGCAAAAGAGGGAAAGTCGTACAGTAACATTCAATATAAAACTATCAAGGTACATCTGCAAGTAAAAAGATTTTCAAACCCAAAAAACATTTTTATTTAGAACAACATTCTTTGTAATTTCAATAACACCCTATTTTGCCTAAACTTGTGCCTTTTCAGCAGAAAAGTGCTGTATAAAAGATAATTTGACCACCACATCGTTAAAACAGGAATTCAAATGAGCATAAAGTGTACTCCCGTAGTAAAAAGTGCACATAGCGAATAAACGAAGTAGCTTACAATATGGATGCTTTCATGAGCGCCGTCAAAGTTTTGTAACTCTCTGACGCAGATCTTGAAGGAGGTTGTCGTGACATCTTCAACCCACACAGAGGAAGCATCATGTTTTACACCGCGCCTTTCATGCTCCGATGACACTAGGACTGTGGGCGCTGAAGTAAACTTTCTCTATGATGACGACAATCGAGGCAAAAGGAACATTGTTAGAAAAAGGTTTCAAATATATTTTTAATAGAATTCAAATCTAAAAATCGAAATTCTTGTTATAGTTTTGAAGAAAAAAGGAACGGTGATATCATGTACGAATTACTTAAATAATATGCGATGTTATGACAGCTATATAAATGCAACAATTTATGGTTTATGGTAGAAAAAAGTATTTTGTGTAAATATATTTTATTAAAAGGTCTAGTCAAGGACGCAAATAAAAAATATATGAAACTCTAATTTTATTTATCATTTCTTATCATTTCCTTCCCTTGTACCCTATAGGCATCACTTTCATGAGGAATTTTAGTATCTTTTCCGGTCCGTAACAGTCCTGTCGCTCATGTACTATTCCTCATTTAGTTAAGGTGGCTCTGTCATGAATACAGGCGAATTTAGCTGTGACGAAGTTCTCGTCCTAACTCTTTCGTTTTTAACGCGATGGCTGAGAAACTTTGCAAAGAACAACAGATATCATTCGGCAATAGCACGAAATATTCTGATTTCATTGATGGTAAATATATTTTGCTAAATTAGCCCTTAAAAGGACCCTACTGTTCAAAGAAAATCGCGTCTAGTAAAAAAAATTGCTGATATTTTTTACTGAAATTTCTGGTATCGGCTTTAATCGACATAATTAATATGCCAGAGGAATTTCCGAAAACTCGTTGGAGCAGAAGTCCGCAACTAAAAATCGCTCAAAATTCAGCAGTGAAATTGTTTTGGAATTTCAAAAATAAATTACTATCAGGTAGAAGGGGACACCAGTTTGAATTTTCGGTACAAGTAAATTCAATGTTTGCTAATTCTTAAAACAAAAGCCGATTGCCTATCGTGCTATTCGTTAGTTTTAGAAGCACAATAAATTGCTACAAATCTTGCTCTGAAGTAGAATGACTTGTTCCTCGACATTTTTCAAATATTCCTTGGCTGTTTTCACTCAAACTCCTGCCACATACATTTTGATGTATTGCAATGCAATTTGAACGACTTTTACTCCTGTTCGATGCTTCCAACTCAGGAAAAAGGTATTGAGATTGGACGCTACCTCGTATCAGAGCTCAGAGAGAACTGTCCAGCACCTTTGTTTATGACTACAAAATGAGCACGAGTGGTAGTTCTGCAAAAAATTCGCACCTCACCCAAGGGGGACAAACGACAATAGGTCTTATCACGGTTTTCGACGCCATCTTGACGAGTAGGCAACCGCGTGAGAAATTACAATGTTTGTATGAAAATCTAATGTCGAATAATTTCCGTAAAACGGCTGTTCTGAAAAAAATATGAACTGTGAACTAAAGCTACACAGCAAAGGATTTTACTACCAAATTTTGGGGGCCGTTACTGTGCTTAAATTTCTCCAGACGCTTGCTTCAGATTTTCCACATATTTGTCTGCAATTTTTTCCCGGAAAACGTTTACTGGCAAATGTATAGAAAATTTTAAAAACTGGTTCTAACGCATATAGCTGCATGTAACGACCTCAAATTTTTTCAGAAGAATCGTTAGGAGTGAAAGTTAAGTTTACAATTCATATTTTTTTCAGTACAGCCGTTTTACGGAAATTTTTGGACATTAGATTCTCATACAAACACTGTAATTTCTCACGCGGTTGCCTACTCGTCAAAAACGTGATAAGGCCTATGATGTCCATGCCTGTGAACCGAATTACATCACAGTGCAAAATAAAATTATCGCAAAACTAATGCCCGTGGATAAATTTACAACTCTGAAATTTTTGTCACTCCTTCCTTCAATGAATGGGTAGTTTTATCTTGATTATTATGTTTTGCTCTGCAATACATGTTTATACAGATCGGTTCGTCATTCGCCCCCCCTGGCTGAGGTGCGAAGTCCTCGCAGACCGGCCGCTCGAGCTCATTTTCTGGTCATAAACAAAGGTGCTGGACAGTTCTATCTGAGCTTCAATACAAGGTAGCTTACAATCCCAAAACCTTTTCCCTGAATTGGCAGCAACGTACAGCAGGAAGAGCCGTTGAGGATTCATTGCAATTCATCAAAATACGTAGCAGGAGTTTGAACCAAAACTGCCAAAGAGTATTTTAAAATGCCGAGGAACAAATCATTCGACGTCAGAGCAAGGTTTGGAGCAATTTATAGTGCTTCTAAAACTAAAAAGGACCTTTCAAAGAATTGCACGATAGGTAATCGGCTTTTGTTTTCAGAATTAGCAAACATTGAATTTACTTGTCCTGAAAATTCGAACTGGTGGCTCCTTCTACCCGATAGTAATTTATTTTTGAAATTCCAACGCAATTTCACAGCTGAATTTTGAGTGACCTGCTCCAACAATTTTTCGGAAATTTCTCTGGAATATTTATTATTTCAATAAAAGCCGATACCAGAAATTTCAGTAAAAAATATCAGCATTTTTTTTTAATGGACGCGATTTTCTTTGAACAGTAGGGTCCTTTTAAGGGCTAATTTAGTTTCTCAAGAAATATTTACCAGCAATGAAATCGGAATATTTCGTACTATTGCCGAATGATATCTGTTGTTCTTTGCAAAGTTTCGCAGCCATCGCGTTAAAAGCGAAAAAGGTATGACGGAAAATTTGTCACTCTGAGCTAAATGATCCAGTATCAATGACGGAGCCTCCTTAAAAGACACTCTATATGAACTTGAGAATACTACAAATTGAACTCACCGAGGGGAGCGACACTGTACGACAGCACGTTCCAGTCCACCAGGTTGGCATGTCCATTTCACCCGACACTCCCCCGTCAGGGGCTCCTTGGTATGCCAGCCAGTCCACTGTGGCAAACGTTTCTCCATTTCTCCTCTCGTTTCTACCAGCCTGTGTGACACACACTGTGAAATTGTTCCCCATGATGTCTTCAACCCAAGCAACCACTGCCTCGTGAACATAGCCTGGGTCTGAGAAGTTCACGTGATTGACAGAAACCTGTATTTGAACCGGTTTGTCAGGATAAAAGACGTAAGGTTCCAGTGGAACTTGTTCGCAAACTGCTTCAGCCCAAACTGGGTTGTGACTGAGGCGATGACGGCCTTTTTGGGAGGGGAATCCTGAAAACAAACAATAACAACAACAACAACAAAAACTTGTAAGACTGTTTGGTTAAAAAATGTCCAGCCAAGATTGAATTGAATTTAAGCCACAAAGAAGACAGCAGAGCTTGGCAACTAGAAGCTGTAAAGCCTCTATTACCCAAGCTTTCATCAAGACTGAATTTAAAAGGGAATTGGAACCAAATTTTTGAGAAGGTACGTCAGCGGAATTTAAACACTGCCTTGTTGGTAACATCAAACGTTACTCACGAGTGAAAATCATGAGGAGGTTTATTCAACTATGAGATTATTCACACCGTAGGGAGCCAGTAAACACTGAAGAACTTACTTGTCTAAAAAATGCAACAAAATATAATGACTCAGAAGCAAAATTACCTGTACAATCTCCTGGATGATAGACAGTGAAGTTTGCCCGGAGATGACACATTTCTCGCTGGAACACACACACGTTATCGTATGTAGTTCCATTGGAGGAACACACAGGCTCCTCGAATGATGGACAATTATCCACGCAAATGCACCGCGCGTCCCTGGGACCGAACGCCTTGCATACTGCAAAGTACTTGCAGGAAACATTGATGCACGGGTCAAGATCTGTTAACAAATGATACACGCAACAATTCAAAATGCCAAATCTTGGCCAAATCAATGTTAGTTCATTTATTCGTTTATTTATTTATTTATTTATCCATTCAATTAATTATTTTATATGTCACTTAATTTGCTAACTGTTTCTGTAATTATTTACTCATCGTTACTTATTGGGATCTTCGAATCGAGTACGAGAAACATAAGGGGAACGCTGAATGCAATTGTTCTTGGAGCTTTCTTTCGACCATCCTTTGCAGTAGTTTCAAGAACCTACGAGATCGAGACTAAGGAAATGTTACGGCAGCAAAAGAGACTGTAACACTACATTTTAGTTTTAGGATATTTACCTCCAATAACTGTGTAGTGAACAGTAACTGGATCATGTTGGCTTTCCATTCCTGCCAAGTCCTTAACGCATACGCGAAAAGTTGAAATCGTTATTTCCTGTGGTCACAAATCGTAAACATTCACCGCATTAGATAAAAGATAAACATGTTGGGAATCTATCAGTTGGCGGCCTACTTTTACGCAAAAATAAATTAATTTTCAAGTTGCAATTAAGCGTGCGGATGACAGTAAAGAATGTCGTTATTTTACCTCTATCCAGGCGTTCAGAACATTGTTCTCCGGCTTAACAGAATAAACGTTATTGCTGTCATAAAGATGACTGACTGTTACCATAACAACGGGAGGCGCATAAAACGCCTCGGTATAGTTAAGAACCTGTGAAGGAGGGACAAGAAGCAAAGTTAGCCTGTAATTATTGATAAAAAGGACAGGGAAAGGGGAAGAGGGACGAAAAAGGAACTTAGGCAAAAGTACCATTCTTCCTTATTCTCATCACGTTTTACATTTGCTACACATGTTTAAGGCAACACAGGACATGATAATTGTATTACTTCCGAAAATCCAAAGCGGATTGAATTCTTTGATTTGTCACAAAGTTCATCATGGCTCAGCTCTACCAACTGCAAGACAAATAAGTTGCTAGTAAAATTTCAAATATCTACCTTTTCAACGTTCTACTACCAAAATTTATCTATTACCTTGCAGAAAGCGAAGTTGTCTCGTTCCAGTGGAGCGCCACCATTCTCAAACTGAAGTTTTCCATGGAATGTCATCTCACCAGTTCCTTGGGTAAAGGCTAACCAGTCCTAGAAAACAAAAGAACTTGTTGTAATCAGTTGCTAATTTAGCATTTGCTGCATAGAGAGGATGCTGTAATTGTAAAACTGATGAAGCTAATAACTCTGCCGGATCGTGAAATTTTAACAAAAGGAATCAGAAGGTCATTGACGCTCTTTCGGCGATTTGATAACCTTAGCGGACCAGTCCAATTTTTCATTTTACTTTTAGTAGACTTAGACTGTTCACAGTCCCCTATTTTTTCGTGAGATCGTTTAGATATGCCGCGTCTTACCGTCACCGCCATCTTAATTTTCAAATGTACCGAGGGGGCAGGCGTTGGGGATCATAGCCCCCACCCCCTAGGTAGTTTTGACACTAATACAAGATGGGTAGCCCGTAACGCAAAGCTCTCGATCTCAACGATCTTACGGAAAAATAGAGGACTGTCGAACAGTCTATAGTAGACTCTTATTCCTTCATAAGAAGCAACCGAAAATGATAGAAAACTCAGACTGTTTTGATAATCCTCATTTTTATAATGCATAAATTCAAAAACTGTATCCAACAACAAATACAAATTATTACTCACAAACAATTAAAACTCATGTAACAGACCAACTTACCACTTGAATATTTTGGTGCTTGCCGTCAAATGTTTTTACCTCCCGCAGGCAGACTCTAAAGTGGTCTTCCTGTAACTCTTCTACCCACATGTTCATGGCGTCCTGTGGCATGCTGATGCTACTGTGACGTACAGTTGCCAACACTTTTGGGACAGAAGGAAACCTCTGCAAACCAAGTTGGAAGTTATTAAAGCTGCTGTTTCGATTGAATATTTTCACAATAACATATACAAAGAAGCTGTCACCAGCGCATCATGGCTTAATTCAATTATCAAACTACGGTCTTCACGGTAGTAATAAGAACATAGGCTAAGATGCGAGTGCTAACTGAAGTCCGGAAAGTTTGAGAAAACTCGCGGCGAACCGCGAGTAACTTTGGGCAAATCTAGTAAAAAAGGAAATAGGACCCCTTCCTCGCTGCAACTATGACATTTAACGCTTGATTAAAACCCAATAAATACAAAGCGAACTTTGACAAGCTCTGCTATGGCTTGTTTCGAAGCGTTTTATAAGCCCCATTAAAGATCCTAAAACCCCTTACGAAGATGTATAAGCCCATTAGTTTACAGCATACAAACAGCTGAGTGATTAGAGCATCCGACCGGTGTACGAAAGGGCATAGTTTCAATTCCCCTCCGGGACTCATATTTTTTCATTATTCCATGCAGGTGACATAATGATTACATTATTTGTCGATACTATAGTAACACCCAGATTACCCTGGCCTTCGATCAGTATAGGATTCTAGGGCCTAGGAGTGCCTGCTTAACCCTCCCCTAACCAAACTTTTGGGCTTATTTAGAAGTTATTGTCAACTTGAGTTAAGGAAGGATTAGGTGGGCAGTTTACCCCTCCCCTCAAAGAAACTTTGGAATTGACAGTCAAGTGTAAATATTATTTTAACAAAAGCTTAAAACGTCTCCTCTTTCTAACTTAATCGATCAAAACGCAATAATTCCTAGTGGCCAAGAAGTAAAAAACATAATCCACACTGGTATTTTAGCCCTATCGCTTTTGTAACTGGGCGGTAAATAAACATTTGTTTCAAAAGCTAAAAGTCACTCGAGTAGCATTAACTCCTCACGTGTAACTAAGTGGGGAAGAATGCTGTAACATTTCGCTATTCAAATTCAATTAACTACGCAACTACGACCGGTGCACGAAAGGTTATACGTTCAATTCCTGTCGGGTTCTCAGACAGATGTTTTTATTGTCCCCTGCTCGTGACATGCTGATTATATCATTTCTCAGCATTATAGTAGTACCTAGAAAACCCTTGGATTAGTATACGATTCTAAGACCTAGGAGTGCCTGCCTACCCCTCCCCTAACCAAACCTTTTAGCTTCTTTAGAAGTTATTGTTAACCTTAGGTTATGGGAGGGGCAGGTGGGTAGTTTACCTCTTCCCTCAAAGAAAGTTGAATTAACAGTCAAGGGTAAATATTATTTCAACAAAAGCTTGAAACGTCGGTTCTTTTTAACTTAATTAATCGCTCAAAACGCAATAATTCTTGATGGTCAAGAATAGACATAATCCACAATGGTATTTTACTCGCATTGTTTTTGTAAGTGGGCGTTAAATAAACATAAATTGTTTCAAAAGCTTACAGTCGCTAAGTGTGAAACATTGCAGAGACATTTCTAAGTTAAACATCAATAAACCACACAAGTAAGTACTTAACTTCCCCCTAGCAACCATCCCCATAATTGTCTCTACTAATACGAGTAGAGAGAAAGCACCCCGGCTTCCCTCCCAATGTAGCTAACTCTGTGGAACATTTTATCAGTTCTAAGACCTCCTCTTGGTTTCTACAAGTAATTTGTGAACGCTTAAAAAGAAAACAACTCGGCATGGAAACCATACCTGAGCAAAGTCAACTCTTTCACATTTTGTTCCGCTGGTGAACGCGTTGAAGGAAGCGGTGCCGTCGAGGGCGCCAGAGGGCACGCCACGAAACGCAATCCAGTTTACTACAGCAGATCCATTTGTGCCAAGGCCTGCCTCTAGCACGCAAATGCGGAAGCTGTTCTGTGTCACATCTGTAGTCCAAACGACTGCTGAATCGTGCACACTTAACGATTCGTTTTCATGGCTGATGGATGCGAGAACACGGATGTTACTGGAGCTGGAAAATACTTGAGGGAATTGCACGGTTCTGCAGTGGACCAGGCTTGGAGATACAACGGTGAAATTGACCTTTCCATGTTGCAGAAGACTTTGTCCTGAAAGTGGAAATTGTTGACAAGTGGGTAATGGAACAATTAGCGAGGTGGAATGGCGGTTCATTTCGGGTCGGTCACAAGCTATTTTCTACAAACTGGCAGCTCTGCGTGTTTTCAAAGTACTGACTTATTTAAACAAGACGAGACTTTTGTTAAAGATAGTTAAGCAGCCCGTAAACTTAAATTTAAAAAACATTTAGTAGTGTCAGAAGGGATAAACGGTACGCGTAAACTAAACTGCTTGATGACCCTTGATTACTACAGTCCACCAAACGGAGGAGAACATCGAACTCAAAAGTTCACACTGAGGATGTAAATTGTGCATGGTAAAAATGAGGGTAAAATGTACTGCTTCGGGTGGTGCGCTTAATTTTCTATTCAGTGCCAAGTTTTATCTCGAGTTGAGAACTGTTTTGATGTCCCCCACCCCACCCCCAAAAATTCTCAAGTAACTCGAGTCTGTTTCTTTACTGTATTCTAGAATAAACTCACAGAGATGGAACTGAGTAAATCTTACCTTCAATCAGAAACGCTGCTGAACACAAAATTAAAGTCGTCGCCACTATCCGTGCACTGGGGAACGCCCCCATCATCGCAGAGGAAGATGCAGCTGCTAGGGGCTTGACTTTTGCGCTTCGGGTATCGTTGATACCTCTGACAAATTCTCGCCTCGTTTGCCATTATAAGGCTGTATCGATTCAATTGATCAACAAAAATATTCTCATCTACTGTTTCCGGGTACAATTTTAGGAGAATATAAGATTCTAACAAACCGGAAGTAAAATAATGAGAGAGTAAAAAGTGAAAACTGCATTCTGATCAGATTGAAAGTAGTGTTGAGAATATAGAACTTGATCGATAAGGTGACGTATGTAATTTATTAAAATTATGATAGAATTGTGCCAGGCCATCTGTCAAGCTCTGGGAAAATAACTTTACATTGATCTTCAAAAATAACAACGAAAAAATGGTAGTCATTTCTTAATCCTTTAATGTTGATGGAAATTGTAACTCATTCTACTTTAGGACGTGAAACCTCTAAAGTGGAGCTTTGCCAACTTTCTTCAGACTGACGAGATTAGGCAGACGTAATGTTGCAGTTAATTCTTCATTTCAGTTAATTTTTGATTTTCTTTGTTTTTGGGTATAGTAGCGTATGCTAAAGAATTTGAAACAAAGGAAAAATAAAAATGAACTGAAATAAAAAAAAAACGGCAGAATAAATATTTCATTTTCACTTTCCCACTTCGTACCGTGCGGTACACATACACCCTGTTAATGAGCTTGGACTGTGACATGTTTTTAAGAGCGGACTTCATATTAAAGCGAAGAGAACATTTGGGATTGAACACTTACTCGACCGCTTCGAAAACAATGACATGTCCAAGAAATAATGTTCGTGCAGGTCTTCACGGAGAATAAAGATTACCTATTAACCTTTACAACATTAAGGTAACAATAAGTACCTGTAAAGGGACATTACTTTATGGATTACAAGGTTAAGTTGCAGTTGGGCAACAGGGGCAACCACATGGTTAGAACTTAATGTGCTTCTGGGAAACAAAGTCCTGCTCATACCCACTCCTCCTCTCTACCCCCTACCCAACCTCGTCCCCAGGGTCTTCTCGCTTTCCAATATGGCGGCGGCAGGAGAGAAGACCCTGGCACACAGCGAACTAAAACGATCGCTGATTGGTGCATTCTGTTGCGCGTTCATACGTGCGCTCTCATTGGTTTATTCATTCCAAAACAAAGATGGTTATCCTCTGAGGGCTTCATAGAGGCTGAGAAGTGCTTTCTTCAGTGTTTGAGACCGAAATGGTGGACAGAATTCAGGTCTGATTGTTCGGAAAACGGTGACTGTACCGTTGGAAGGCAAAGATTCGAAGATAGTGATATCTGAAATGGTAATCGCTGGGAATATTATAAGGCGTAGAGGTATTGCTCGTGCTATTTGGTTTGTGTGTTCGATTCTAAATTACTAAAGATTTGTTTCTTTGATTCCCGATATGTGAAAGAATACTTGCAAGGCTTCAGCTTATCAATAAATTTAGCTGTCCGTTTGCAAGGGTTTAGTATTGTTCTGCCTTTTGTTTTCTTTGAACAATAGCTGTATGCATAATATCATTAATGTATGGGGTTATACGGAAATCTTGCATAATCTGTGCTTTGTCTCAGCAGTTTTTTGTCGAGTGAAACATTTTTTTTCATTTGATCGTAACATGCATGGGCCTAACCTGGCCTTCTTTTAATGTTTTCCACGGTGATTTTGAAGGGGGATGAGGAGTGAGAGATGCAGATGTCGAAACAAAACTAAAAATTGAAGCCAAACATAGTGTCGATATCCTTTGATATTTTTAATCCTGACTTTTCATTTACTCAGTTTTTAGTGTCACAATGATGATAATTTATTATTATTTGCTCATTTCATTGGCAGTAAAATACAGCTAAATACAGAGACATTGGGAAAATAAACTGTTTTCTTTTCTCAGAAATGAAAAACTTTCATTTTAATGTTTGAAGCTTGTGGGATTTCTTTCTAGTTGCAAAAATAAAATAATGAAAGCACATGATGTCTTTTCATTTTATCAAGTTGAAAACAGTGATCAGCCCATGCAAGGAAATCTGACAGTCTTGGATTCTCAATTCTACACCATGGATACTGCATTCTGGATTCTTTGTCAGTGGAACTTGGATTCCGGATTCCAATTATAAGTGGGATCTAGAGTACTTGACCTTTATTCCAGATTCCAAGAGAAAAATTTCCCAGATTCCGGATTCCCTTACATAGGGTGACAGTGATCCTAAGATAAATATGTTTTCTGTCAAACCAAAACCTGTTAATTGAGCTTCTAATCACTGTAGGCTAAGTGTACATGTTGTTCTTGTCACTATATGCTTGAAAAGGGGGTTTGTGGACCAGGTGAAATAGTGGCTGGCATTATGGTATTCCAAAACCAGCTGGGTATGCTTATGAAGCAGCTATAATTCAGTTCTAAAACTTGGATTTAAAAAAATAAACTGCTTCAAAGGCTGCATATATCACTATCCACTGAATAAACAAGAGCGGAAGGGGCCTGCAGTGTCTTGATCATGGGATTTTTCATGTAGGGATGTAAGGCTTTTGAAGTGTTGTGCACCAGAGTCCCCAGTAGCATAGTGAGCTTTTAGTTGCCTAGTCACGGCCAATGAGTTTCACGTCACGTGGTCCCAAGTAAAACAGTGAAACAGTTTCCCTCCAGTTTGCCTAAGATACATCACCGAAATGAATTGACCAAGAAGGCCTGGGAAAATGCCACACAGGGACAAGGCAAGGCTTTTAGCTTGTTTAGGTGTTGGGCTGTGAGGTGGCAGCTGTTAGATGTGCTGGCTTAAATACTTCCAAAGTCTAGTTTAAGGTGTTGGTTAGTCTTAGTCATTGTGTTTGTATCATAATCATATCATCAGAAATAATCAGATTAACCCAACTATTAAACTGATAATCGATTATAGTAGATTATAGATTTGTGACCCCTGTGTGCCACTTTCAACACTGAAAATAATTTTGTAAGACAAAATGAACAAAACAAAAAACCTACCCTGCAAGCCGATGCTTATCTGTCACATAGTTTTAAAAACCAACTAAACATCATATAAACTACATTAAGAGCCCATCAAAAAGACAACACAGGTGTATTAATGTCCTTATTTGTCAACAATGTTTTTGTGAATATTCCACAACAATCAATTGAACATTTGTATAAGCAATACTCACTTTGCTTTAGGTTTCTGATCAATGATAGATTATGAGCGATAATCAGCACACCACTACCAAGTCATGTCTCAATTAGAGTACGAAATGGCCCATCTGACGAGCAAAGCATGTTTGACTTAAAGGATCTATTATCTCCAAATCAGATAGGAACTTTTACAGTGCACATGACTCAGATAGGACAATCAAATTTTTGAACAACTGGAGTCTAGCCTTTAGTCAATTTGCACATTGCAATGGCAAAGTGCAGCCCCAAGTAATATGTAAAATAAACCAAAGTCATGAGGGATTAAGAAAGTTTTTGCTCAAAAAATCAAATCTACTTCAAAGTGGAAAATACATTTTGGATTGCTATATTACAAACAATGGAAACACTCTTCACCTTTTGCTAGCTATTGAAGCAGGGTTAATGCTTTTTTTTTTACATCTGAGAGGCAAAAAAACCAATAATAACAGCATCTTAAATCCTCTATTAAGGCTCCCTCTCTCAAATAAGCCCTCCTTTTCAGTGGATGAAAGTTCTAACAATAAGTCCCCCCTCTCTTTTAACCCCATTCCACCTCCCCCTTTTCTTATTCTTCACTAATAAATAAAAGACTATCAATCAATGACAACTGTAAAACTTTGTAAGGACCGATCCAGGATGGTTTATTCACCAGCTGGAAGTTCGGATTTGTTTTTGATCCTCAGCTGCTTCACCTCCAACCTTCTTGTACTTGGGCTTTTTCACTTGGCATTTTTTTTTTTGTGGGGAACTAATGACAGCGTCTTTGCTAGATTAAATAAATATTGCCCGGAAGCATTGTGAACAGGGTTAGATATCAAAAGCCAATAAGAAAGTCTAGAAACTGTAAAGTAGATGAAGGATGACAATAATTTTATTACCTGTACCAGATCAAGTGACAAAATATCCAAACTGAACAAGGAACTGTTTAATTTTCAACCAAAGTTTCCTCAAATTATATTAACAAAATAGTGTTCTCTGGTTCTTGTTTTCAGAAAAAAAATTGTTTTTTGCATATCAGAGTTCAGTTAAAATGTGTACTGATAGAAAAACAATAGTCAAAAACCTCACGAAGATCTGTAACAAAACTGACATAACTTATCGTAGTATTCGGTAAAGTGTCTGCGACTCAATTTAATGCCTTGTTGAATTTCGGAGCGGAAGAGGTTTTAGGGCGTCATGACAAAAATTTCCTGGCTTCAGAGGTGTGTTCTCGAAATTCCTAAGATGAAATAAATTGCCCTCACGGTTAGAAAAAGCTCCCCCTTTCACGAAAGAAGAAAACTGAACCTTTGGCACTCAGGGTAGGCAAAAAAAGAAAACAGTGAAAAAAGACCGCTATCGAGAAATTATTAAAGTTGTAGACAGTTGTTAAGTGCCGTGTACGCTAGAACGTTCAGGCTTAAACTAAATGAAGGTCATTGAACAGAAAATAAGACCGCTATATCATTCTACCGTATTCCTGTGGCTTTTAAATGCATTCTTTCATACTTTTAGCTTCTCTTGCGTTTGCCTTTGCCGCCATTTTGTTTGTTTTTCTTCAGTCTCAAGACCTCATACCCAGATCCTCTCAGTCTTTATCTTGGCCGCCATTTTGAATAAATTTCCACTCTCCGTGGACAAATCAGTCACGTGATTTCTGCTGTGTGCCAGGGTCTTCTCTCCTGCCGCCGCCATATTGGAAAGCGAGAAGACCCTGGGGACGAGGTTGCCCCCTACCTCGCCGTCCCATGAAATCTTTTGCCATTACGTTAGAGAAACTTATTACAAACGCATTTCAGTACAAAAATCACACTATTATTAATACAGACAAAGAAATCATGCATTGCGAGGGG